GAGACACCCAGAAATGGGCTTAAAACCCAAGAGCCTTTAAAAAATGGGAAGCTTTTTTCTCTGCCTTTAGCTTTTTGTTTTAGTTTTTAGCCTTTTGGATTATGTGAGCTTGTCTTCAGAATGAGGAAACTTAGATCCTTCTGTTTTTAAATCAAAACTGACAGACATAATCACTTGAATTCAGGATCTTTGTCTTAGGGAGAAAAGAGAAAAACTGAAGTACTCATAAGAAAATCAAGAGGTTTGGCAGCATCAGTTAGTGCAAGGGTCTTTGCCAATAGGGCCTGCCTTCAAATCATCATTTACTTAAAACTAATCTATTTTTGCTCCAGTCATATTCAAAATTTTCTTGAAAATCCCAAGTCTACACACACTACTGCAGTAATAACAGGTAAGTTCCTACAGCAAAATATCTTGTTTTGTGTAATGTTGAAAGATGTTTCTATTATTACGGAATAGTGATTTTATACATATTAATTTGTGTATGTCTTGGTGCATCGAAGCTTATGAACATCAGGTGGTTTAGAGACTTCCTTTCTCCATGATTCACCTCATCAAATAACATTGCTTGGTATATTTTTAGGAAAAAATTGCTTCCCATCAAAGCTAACAGCATGATCAGTAAACAGAGATTAGTGGTAGAACTCATTTACTGTGCAGGGTGGCCAGTCATGACTGAAGAGCAACTAAACCTTCTGGCCCTTTGGTACGAGACAGTAACCTTTGGTAGCAGAGCGGAGGAACAGATGGGGGCAACCCCCCTTCAGTTGCTGCTGCCTAAACGCAACAGGGTTTGCAAATCCAAATTTTCAGTCTAGTGGCTGGGCCAAGTCACTGTGGTTACACCCACATTAGTAAATTAAACAAGTCTGGGACCAGTCTCTGCCCTGGAGGCCAACTGGCACAGGATATCCAACATCCATTCTATTAAAGCCTCAAAAAGACAGTGAAAACATACAATCTGCCTATTGGGGATGGCAGGATGTATCCCCTAAACCGTGCCCTGGAGTATTTTGGGAAACTGCTCATTGCCCCAGGCTAAAACCATGGAAGGATTAATAAGAATCAGTAGAAACAACCAAGCTTTGGTGCTCAGGAACATCCTGCTGCTGTTTAATTTGCTGGTATCAGCAGACCTTTAAAGAGCCCGTGCATTTTTCACACTTTGATCTGTGCTAATACCCTCACCAGGCCCTTACAGCAATAGCCCACGCATGCAGCAGCATTTCTTGCCCCAATATCAAACACTCTTGGATATATTGGCTAAAAGCTCACACTTGTGTACTGAGCAATTCCCCTGACGACATCATCCCCGGCTCTTTCCTATTGCCCATGCCCCAGGATTACTGTCTGCACAGCAGTGCAGGTACAGCGGAGCTTCCAAGTGCCCTCTGGTGCAAAGTCTGGCACCATCCTTCAACTGCTGCGAAAAGCAGCTGGAAAGGGGTAATGTCCTAAACCTCCACAGCCGCTTGCTAAGAAAAGCTGTGCTGAAGCTGTGCTTGAGCTTGCCAGGGCCTGTGCTCAACAAGTTACTTCTTTTTTGGGGCACTATGACTACTTTTAGTCTCTGTATCTAATCGATTTCCAGTGAAGATTTAAATGTCAGTGGAAAGCTACCGATTTGGGGTAAACTAGCTAAGTCACAACAGAGAAAATAGGGGCACACGAATTCCCTGATATATAGTTAGCTGAACTACAGTTTCAACTGCTCTGCAATTGTTCATTAACATTAAAGTGGTTGGAAGTGTTTGCCAGCATCTTCCAGCACAATAATGCCCAATTTCACCCCTGCAAAACCCATCCAAGAATTCTTGGCATGTTGATACCTTCCAAATGACTCAGCCTCCCATAAGAAAAGGAAGTAGATCAGGGAATTTTAGGAAGGAAGGGCGCTGAAATCATACACAGAACTAAGAACAGTTAATTGCATAACTGCTATGGAAAGAGCAGGAAATACAAGGGCTTGGGCAGAGAAGGAAAGTAGGAGTACACACAAACAGGAAAGAAAATACAAGCACTGAGATGCATGGAAGGGAAAATGGGAGAAAAGGATATGGAGGGACTCTGAAATGAGAAGAAAGCGGGGAGTATCAGAGAAAAGGGAAACTATGTATATCCTGGTAGAGAGCAGGCAGGAGCATGAGGGAATCTGGTACATGGAGCAGACACAAGGACAACCTAGAATGAGACACAGAGCCAGCAGTACCACAAGGAAAAAGAAACTGATGAGCCCAACTCATTTAGTTTCAAGAAACTGTATGTTGTAAAACGAATTTTATAAGACATTCCAGGCTTGAACATTCGTTTTTACAAACTAGAAAATTAAGGGTTTGCACTTGTATGTAGAAGATCTATATATTCTCACCTATCAGTGGCAAAATACAAAACAAAGCGGCTACAGGATCACACCAAAAATAATTGTTTGGAATGACACTACCCTCTGGTGGTCAAAAAATACAGTTATATGTACACCAGGAAGGTAAAATATTTGGAGCTGGTCATACAGATAACTGTGGTTTGTTTGATCCTTTATTCATATCATTGGCACGAACTATGCTTAAAAAAAAAAAAAAGCAATCAATTCCAAACCACACTTCAGTAACCCACCTTGAGACCATGCTGTTAAATGACACATCCACTTTATTTGTTTTCTGGCAACCAGGAAGAATAGGAACACCACACATGGCTGTGCTTACCTATGCAAGTAAATGAAGTAACACAATACTAAATTTCCAAATTATTCCCAAATAAAATGTAAAGCTATTACCAGCAATTTTTTGCTTTATCTCTTTGGAAAATAAGCTCTTCAGAACTGACATTCACTTTTAGTGTGTGCAAGAGAGCTCCTAGACAAATAGAATCCAGTCTCTAGATGTCACTTTAATACAAGTATTTAATAAAAACGACAATACTGCTTGCAAGAAAGAAAAATGAAGGATAATTTTTCCAAGTTAGTGCTGACCACATCCATAATTGCATACATTGTCACCAATTAATTCAAAACAGAGTGCATAAAGCTGTGGCCAGAGGAAAAAAAAAAGGAGCCTATATAGGTATTAAAAGCCAGCTTTCTTATTCTGATCCTTACTTCTAACAGGACATTCCTTGATTTCATCCAAAATCTTAAATACATAAAGGATAGAACTGTTTTTTCTTCCACATTAGTTACAGAACATCATTGCTGAGAAAAGCAATTGCTTCAGTTCAGGGTTTTCATGAAGGTGCTTCAGGACTTATGTAATGACTTAACACAGTCATGTATCCTGCCTTGCCTCACTCACATTTCTTGACATCTAATCTTGTACAAACAAAAAAAGCCAAATATTAACCACTCTGCCATTTTCACCTTTCCTCCCTTTACATTATCACTGTTCAACTGCTGGGTTTTTTCCCCTTCTGTTAAAAAAATAATCCCTATTTCTCATAGCCAAATGATCTTTTCGGAAGATGAGTCTTCCAAATACTCTTTTTATCCCCAAACATCTTAAGACCAGATGTCTCGATGGTCCTACCTTTCTGGAAATAAGAAAGAGCTTGTCCCATCACTCCCTTCTAGGGAAACGATTCTGTGTTTTGCAACTTTGATCTTTATGGTAGGCTGAGCTTCAACTAAAAGTAAGGGTTTCCTTTTGTTGCTTGGAAGCAATATATTTGTGTATTGCCTCCTTTCAAGAAATACACCGTACAGACCTTGATCGGGCAAAAGTCATTCTTGCCACGTCTGACAAACTGTCATCTTTGATGCCACCTTGTGGCAAAAATACTGGATTCTAGAAATACTCAGCATTTGTCGCTCCTTGCAGGTGCATTTAACTGCAGCACAGTGGTAACTGCTGCCAGCAGCGCTTCAGTTTTAGCCTTCATAAAAATCAGGATTTTGGCACTCCTAAGAATGCGGCACCAGTCGGTGATGGAGAGAATGAAAAGCACGGAAAAGCGCTGCAAAACACATTTATTCTTACCACAGTGTAAAAACTAAAGCGGTACATCAAAGGGCACATGGCACAAACATTCGCATGCTGGGAGCCCATGCATTTATTTCTCTCTCTCCGCTAGAAAAACACTTGTGGTGAGAGGTACAACCTGTTCCGAACTTGTAACTGCAAAATAGCACTGCAGTTAGGGACTGAAGAAAAACTCAGCCACAGCCTAATAGGACGGGAAGCATTTACGCCAATTACCTCACACTGGACTCAGTTACTAGGTGCAAAAAATTATTCTAAAGGAGGCCCTGCCTATTTTTCAGGGCCACCTTGAGGCTATTTGGGGCCTGCTATACAAGCCAAGTTACCACCTTCAGCAGCATGAGGACGGCACCTATTTTTAGCGTTACTTCCACTGGAGAAGCCCAAGAACCACCACATGCCTCCTGCTGGCGCTCTCCCAAACGCCTTTCTCCCAGCAAGCGCGTAGGAGGAAGAGATTCAATTAACCCACACACCTGCCTCTTGCACAGCGAGGTTCCCAAGAACATGGGAAACCACTCTAAAAGCCTTCAGCCAGGCTGAAGCCAGCGGCAGCCGCCAGCACCTCCTCGGTTTTGCCTCCCGGCACTCCGGCTGGCAGGCAGGGGCCGGACCGCTCCTCTCTTCTCTTCTTCTCACCTCGCCTCACCTCACCTCACCTCAGCGCCGACGGCCGCAGCCCGCGCGCGGGAAAGCACCGGCGGCGCCTCGCGCCCCTCCCCCCGCTCCTGCCACCCCTTCGCCCGGGGAGCCGGGCGCCGCGCGCATGCGCGGTCCCGCAGCCCTCTCTCGCGCGCAGTGCCGGCGGCGCGCAGCGCTTGACTGGAGGAGGAGGACGAGGAGGAGGAGGCGACGCCGTCTCGCCTCACCCCACCGCGGGGCCGGAGCTTTATTCTTTAACTGCTTTCGCCTGCCTGCGGAGAGGCCCCGCTACCGACCCGACCGAGATAATTGGCTTCGCCTCCTGTTCCCCCGTGGGCGGGAGTGGGGGCTGGGTGTCCCCCGTCCCCCCCCC